GCTACTTCCTGAAGGAGACCTTTAACAACAAACCAGAATTGATCTGCAGATTCTATATTATTTTCATCAACTTTTTTATCCTTCGCGTAAATTAATTGAGCTTCATCTAGAATCAAAATCGTTGGAATTAAATCGCACTGATCTATCCACTCTTTCCAACTTACACCAACAATACTTTTCCATCGCTCTCCAAATGTACTCCAACTAATGTGCAATCTCCAAAGCAATGAAACTCGTATTACTCTATAATTTGAAAATTCTGGCGCGTGAACCAAGCTATGCTCCATAATTTGAGCTATTGACGTTTTTCCGGAAAAGGGAGGTGCTCGAACAAGTATGACCTTTTTATCTATAAGATCTTTGATCAAAAGAGGTATAATATCAAATCTTAGGCTGACATCAGGATCATTAATATTAACACCCTCATTGGAAGATCTTATCCTCAGGTCAATAGGTAGAGACGTACCACCAAGGCCACCTAAAGAAATTAAGTTGAGGTTAGAAATATATTATAAGATTGTGATTAAAAAATATCAACTTATACGGACGTCGTCGAGGCAGATAACCAAGGTTTGCAATGTCATGAGATACATCGGCGCTTCTTTTATATAGTACTGAGATAAAGATGTTAATTACATTATATATAGGAAGCAGAACAGCGTAATTATTTTTGTTTGAGAGGTAAAACATTGGGAAACACTTACCAGTTGTGGCGGGCAGTTGTACAATAATACGAATGCTAGTACTAGTGGGTATCGGACAAAAATAGTCTTCAACATTTTTGAATGGAGATAATATTATACCTTGGTATTGTTCTTTGATATTTTCGGCGTATATTTTGGTTTCTAGATCTTCACCTTCTATAGGAATGTTCACACTCCATAGATTTATTTCATGCGCGGGTATATTATCAAAATAAGGTTCCATCTTCTTTTTGATGATATCCTTGAGATACCCTATGTTCATTTTAAGATTGATGTCGACCGGGAAAGAATTTTTAACAGCGTTGCCTAGAACGAGACAGAACACCATTATTTCGGTGACGTCACACATGGTTTTACAGTATAAAATAAAACTGCGGATTTTCCAAAAAGACAAAAGGACGATTTTTTTTAAAAAAAAATCAAATGTTTCGGTGTATTTAAAGCAGAGATTTTTTTCCCGAAATAAATGACATGGGGGGTGTTCTCCTTACCTCATGTATGCAATACCCCTACGGCAT